GAGGTGTGCGAGGCGTCTAACAAGTGGTATCAGAGCCTGTTGTTTTCCATAGCTTTACCGCAGGAAACAAGATCATGGCCGGAAGATTATTTCAAGCGGGAATATCCAAAGGACAATCCACTACTTGTCCTCCACTCTTTGACGGTACAAATTATGCATATTGGAAGGAAAGAATGAGGATATTCATACAATCAAATGACTTTGACTCATGGATGCTAATCAAGCATGGAAACACTACCCCTGCAAATATTGTTGATGGAATTCGTGTTCCCAAGTTGGAATCCGAATATGATGATCAAGACAAGAAGAACGTCATGCAAAATGCCAAAGCCATCAACTATCTTTATTGTGCAGTCAACCCTGATGATTATAGGAAGATATCAAGATGCAAATCCGCCAATGAGATGTGGACTAAACTCGAAGTCACTTATGAAGGTACATCTCAAGTTAAAGATGCTAAAGTTGATATCTTATTGCATGAATACGAATTATTCTCAATGAAGGAGAATGAAAGCATTGATAGTTATTTTGAGAGATTCTCTACAATCATCAACAATCTTGACACGCTCGGAAAGTATTACACCGATCATGAGCTTGTCCGGAAAATTATGCGTTGTATGACTCTTGAGTGGAAATCCGAGGTGAACGCCATAACTAAAGGAAGAGACTACAATGTCTTAACTTATGATACTCTTCGTGCGAAACTACTCACATATGAAACTACTACTCCTCATCTACGTGGTGAAGACAAGAGGAGGAAATCTATGGCATTGAAAGCCAAGGAAGTTGTAGAGGAAAATGAAGAAGATGATGATGAATCACTTAATTCAGAAGATAATCCCGAACTTGCACTTGTCATTAAACGCTTCAACAAGTTTATCAAGAAAAGCTTCAAGCCAAGGAGAGATAATGGCAAGAAAGCTACACCACCTAAATGCTATGAATGTGGTGAGATAGGGCAGATCAAGCCTTATTGTCCTAAGTTAAAGCAAGGGAAGGACAATAAGTTCAAGAAGAAGCAAAAAGCATTCATCTTCCGAAACAAGTGATGAGGACGAAGAAACAGCAAATCTTTGTCTAATGGCTACCGAGGAAGAGGTATCTTCTAATTCTTTTTCAACTCCTTAGCTTTATCGTCTTCAAGTGATTGCTTTTCATTGGATGATTTACATAGTGCATTTAGTGATCTCTATGGTGAATTTCTCAAATCCACCAAAGAAATTAAGCTTGCCAAAGAAAATGTCACATCTTTAGAAGCTCAAATAATTAAACTTAATAAAGAGATGGATTTGTTGAAACTTGAAAACAAGAAACTTGGCAAGGTTAGTATTGACACTCCTTGTTCACAATGTAACACCCATGAAAAAGAGATAGCAAGATTGCATGAACATTTAGGAAAATATAATAAGGCTAGCAAAGATATGCACTTTATAGTTCAACAAGGACAATACAATAAAAATGGACTAGGCTATAAATCTAAAGGTTTTAAAAAAGTGAATTTCATTAAAGAAGGAGAAAGACCTTTGGAGGATCCTAAGGATAAGAGTAATATAGTTCATAAAATTGGTAGTAACACTAAGACGACTAAACCTAGGATGAGAAAACTTAGTCAGTCTAGGAGTTACGTTGATCATAGGTTCACTAGACAACCTAGACAATTTCCTAGGAATAGACAACCTAGCAACTTTAGGACTTTTAGAAATGCACCTAGACAACCTAGTAATAGGACACATAGAGGCTCATCTAGTCCATATAGATTTATGTATGATCCTAGAGTTGTTTGTAATTATTGTGATCATGTTGGGCACATAGCACCAGTTTGTTTTAGGAAGCTTAGAATGATAGCTAAGAATAAGAAGAGGGCACACATTGATGTTTTTAATGCTAGAACTAACCCCCCTGGACCCAAAAGGCATTTGGTACCAAGATTTGCTTCGTAGATTCATTAAGGAAGGTGTGCTTGAACACTTCGACTTGAGTTGAAGTAGATGCGCCAAGCACATAATTGGGTGAAGCATCAATTAAGGGGAAAGTTGATTCACTTTATTAATTCCAACTAATGTTGATTTATATTTTAGTTGGACAATGTGATATTATTTGTTTGTTTGGTATCTATTTGCATGAGCATATATCTTTTTGCCCATCTCTTTTTGATAATGTCAAAAGGGGGAAGATGGTGTAGATATGCATATATTCAGGGGGAATTGTATTTGTGCATATCTTAATGGGGAAGATAGTATAGATTTGTATGTCTTTGTTTGATTTATGATGCAATGCTTGAGGGGGAACTAGCCTTGTATGATGCATATCTCCTAATGGGTTTGTCATTATCAAAAACGGGGAAATTGTTGGACAATGTGCTATCATGAATATGTATTTTTGCAATGTCCTTTGCCCATTGTCTTTTAGGTTTTGATAATGACAAAAGGGTGACAAAACATCATCATCATTTTGTGCATCAAGGCTAAGAATCAAAGCTACAACAAGTTCATATCCGTCCGAGAAAAAGGGACTTGAGCATCGGTGGAAGGAACGAGATCGAAGAGGTTGTTTCTTTAGTTGGGTAGTGTTTTAGGTCTTAGATTTTTTGTTAAAGAGTATGGCATCTCTAAGGTTCATTCCCTTATCATCCTACCTTTAAAACACATTTTTTTCAGCAAACTATTCGAATAAATTGAAAACTATTCGAATAAATCCCTGAAATTCTATTCTGACTTAGTTGAATAAATCCAGAACTAGTTGAATAAGTCAGACTGCAGTTTCACCAGAACTAGTTGACTAAGTCTTGACTTAGTCGAATAGTTCGACAGTTTCAACTACCAAACGGCTAGTTTTTTGAATGCTTTTCATCCCTATCCACTCTCTATCTTCTATAAACTACCTTATCTCGTGTTTTGGCCAAGAATATACATTGAAAACACTTCAAAACATATCCTTTGAATATCCAAAGAGATTCTACTCAATCCCCTCCTTATATCCAAGCAAGGCAATTGTTTTGATTGCTAAATCATTTCTTGCTTGAGTTTTTTCCTCATTGCTTGAGTTTTTGAGAGATATTACCATATTCTAAAGGACTTCATTGTATTTGCAACAATCTACTCCATGTTGGGAGAATTACTCGGTTGCGGTTTGTTTTCTTACTTTATTGTAAGGGATTGGTATTCTTGGTGTTGGGATTACACCAAGTGGTAGAAATCCTAACGGTTTGTGAAATCAAACGTTAGGTGGAAGAAATCCTGAGTTTTGTGAAATCAAAACTTCGGTGATAAGATAAGAGGCTTGTGAAATCAAGTTCTCGAGTTGTATTCGGATTGTCAAACTCTGTTAAGTTTGACGGGTTAGTGAAGGCCTAGGCACGATTGCTTCGGGGACTGGATGTAGGCATTTAGGCCGTACTAGTATATATCATGTGTGCATTGCTCTTATCCTTCATTTTATTTTGTTTGTGGTGCATTGTTTTTATTGAATATTCGTGAAGAACGTTTCCGCACAAAAAACTGATATTTTGGGCAACACATCTATTCACCCCCCCCCCTCTAGAGGTGTGCGAGGCGTCTAACAAGTGGTATTAGAGCTTGTTGTTTTCCATAGCTTTACCGCAAGAAACAAGATCATGGCCGGAAGATTATTTCAAGCGGGAATATCCGAAGGACAATCCACTACTCGTCCTCCACTCTTTGACGGTACAAATTATGCATATTGGAAGGAAAGAATGAGGATATTCATACAATCAAATGACTTTGACTCATGGATGGTAATCAAGCATGGAAACACTACCCCTGCAAATATTGTTGATGCAATTCGTGTTCCCAAGTTGGAATCTGAATATGATGATCAAGACAAGAAGAACGTCATGCAAAATGCCAAAGCCATCAACTATCTTTGTGGGAGAAATACTAACCTCAAGAGTCTTTTCAGACAGAGTAGAATTAAACATGAGTTCAGAGTTGTTGGACTGTTCAATGTCTCAAAAGATGATCTCACAGAGCGACTTACTTCCTCGGTTGGGACAGTTTTAGGAGGCAAGACTGGGTTGTGTAACCACTCTAGAGAGTCATTCGTAACTTTCTCCCCTGACTACTAAAGTGGTTATGGAAGTAATACTCAGTTTCCAAAAAATTACAATCCATTGTCGTGTACATCCATCGAGAAATAGGATCATAACATCTATATCCCTTTTTGTGAACCCCATACCCAACAAAGACACATCGGACAACACAAGGATCAAGTTTTGACCATTTGGCTTTTTGAATATACAGTGCAACCAAACACACGAGGAGTGAGAGTCAAGGAGGTATCTAGGAACAGTGGAAAATTCGCAAGTGTAACGATAGGTGTTTTGTGATTTAGGATTTTTGTCAGAAGGCAATTTATGAGGTAAATGGTGGTTGCAATTGCTTTGGGCCAGTAAAAAATCAGAACATTGGACTCAATCATAAGAGCTCTAGTGATTTCGAGTATGATCCAATTCTTACGTTCAGCAACGCCATTTTGTTGAGGGGTGTCAGGACAAGTCATTTGATGGATAAGACCTTTTTCCTTACATAAATTTTCCATGGGATGATTTATGTATTCTCCTCCATTATCAGATCAAAGAATACAGATCTGTTTTTGGTATTGTGTGTGGATTAATTTGTAAAATGAGGTGAACTTTTCAAAAACTTCAGATTTGTGTTTAAGAAAGTACACCGAGGTCATACGGGTACAGTCATCAACAAATAATAAATGAGAAATGAGAAAGGTTGTGATGCAACTGTGTTATTTAATGGATAAGAATGTTTATGACTTTTGGCTAGAATACAACTCTTGCAATCAAACTGACAAGATTTATTGAATAATTTTGGAAAGAGAATTTTGAGATACCCCCAAGATGGATGTCCCAAACGACGATGCCACAGCCATGTCTGCATGTCCACTGTCCCATGAGCAAGTGTAGCTGTTCCGTAGTGATCAACTTCATCAACATAGTACACGCCATGACGCTCCGAACCACGACCAATGATCTTCCCTGTCCGAATATCCTGTAATAAGCAAAAAGTGGGGTGCATAAGGACCATGCAATTTAATTGTTTGGTGACATGACTTATTGACAGCAATTTATGAGATAATGTGGGAACGTATAGACAATTATCCAACCGGATAGAATTTGAGATAGATTGGCCGTTTGAATGTGGGTTTGAATGTGGGTTTTCTTAGACACGAGAGTAATCTCAATTGGCCGTTTGAATGTGGGTTTTCTTAGACCAAGTTAAGGAACCAAAATCGGAACAGTCATAGGACATTGTGTCGGTTGCTCCACAATCAAAAATCCATTGCGTATTTTTAATTGGGCCGATATTGGGCTTGTTTAATGGGACGGGAAGAGGTTTTAATATAAAAACCCCTTCCCCACTTTCTCAGTAACCCTACCCGCAGACTCTTTCTTCTCTGTGCCTTCCTCTACGCCGCCTTCACCTTCTTCATCTGTCTCTCTTCTTCCGCCTCTTTTCATGGCGATTCCGGTGAAAAAATAAGGCGCTTGGCTAGCAGTGATGTTGGTGATCTTTGGACTGCCCACCACTGCCCCAGCGACTCCCGTCGGCATCTTTCCCCTCTTTTGGTTGTCTGGCCACCACTCGGGGTAGCCGATTCTTTTGAAGCATCCTTCGGCCGTGTGCTTCGTCCCACCACAGTAGGTACATCTTAACTTTGATTTATCTTCATATGTCCGAGATGACGATTGGTGATTTTCCGATCGCACCGCCGTGCGTGTGGCAGCTAGGCCACCACCGATTCTTCCAATTCCTGAGGGAGATTCTCCGGATGATGGTCCCCCCCTTCCCCTTTCATAATCCCCTTTCTTGCTGCTTCTCTTCGTATTTGGACATATGCTTCTTCCACTGATGGAAGAGGCTCGGTTTTGAGTATGTCCTGTTTTTCGGCATCAAATTCCTTATTTACAGCCTCTTGGAATTGATATAGACGATTTTGTTGTTGAATTTGTGTGAAAATCGTCATATCCTCTCGGCATTTCATTGGGTTGGGTCGGTGTCTGTCGATTTCTTTCCAGACAGCTTGAAGCTGGCTAAACACTTTTTCCAAGGACTGTGCTCCTTGTTTGATTTCACTGGCCTTGACCATTAAGTCGTAGATTTGCAAGGGATCCTTTTCGGAGCCGTACGTGGCTTCGATTCCCTTCCACAAATCCCACGCAGTTGGATATTCGATGTATTGGTTTACAATATCCGACTCTATGTTTTCTAGTATCCAAGTTATCACCGTTGAATCTGTTTGCCTCCACTTGATATATTTGGGATCATCGGTTTTGAGAGGTACGGCAGTGATGTGCTTGAGCCGACCTCTCCCGTCAAGAGCCAAGCTCATCTTGCGCGCCTAAATGGCGTAGTTCTTATCGTTGAGCTTTTCCGCCAAATTTAACGGTTGATTTGAGGAGCTCTCGGTAAGTTCGGCCTTGGGTGCTAAACTCTTGAAATTTTGGAGAATTTCCAAAATTTGTGCAGGATTGACGGGCTGTTTCATCGGATCAGTCTCCCCTGTGTAGGTGGAGCTCTCCGGTGTTTGATCAGACATTTTTTTATGGTAGATGATGAATGCTGTGATTCATTCAATCGTTTGATCGAATGATGGCTCTTATACCATATTAGAAAAATTAGAATGAATTCACAGCAGAATATTCATCTTATTGAATACATCTATAATGATATCTATAAATATTACAAAGTTAATAATGAAGACAATCAAGAAAAGTGAGTGGAAGTTAATCAAATATCTTGATTGGTAATTTGATTCCAGTCAAGGATATTATCAAGATATTAGACTATTCCTTTTTTGTTTGATATTTCTAACAATCTCCAAATTTATAAAATTATAATTTCGAATTCTATATTTAATTCTAATTAATCACTGTTGATTAGGAATTAGATCTAATTAAATTCTAAAATAAAAAATAAAGCACGAAAATTTATTATAATTTTCTAGAACCCTTAAAATCTTATTTTAACATCCGAGAATAACTAAAAATATTTTTCCAATTTTATTGTGTATTTATTTTGTGATTAACCCAATTAACCACAAAATCAAATAACAACCCTTAAGTACAGAATTAATTTCGAAATTTAATTTTAAATTTCAGAATACTTAAAATCATATTTTAACATTCCATAACTAATAGAGTTATTTTTATAAAATCATTAAGTATTTATTTTGTATTTTAACCAATCAAAATACAAAACTACACTTAATTGATTAAATAGAAAATAAATCCAAAATAAATTCCAAATATCATATTTTAGAATTATATAAAGTACAAAATCACAATTTTACACTTTATATCATTTTTGATATATTTCGAAATATTTTAAAAAGAAATCTGGATTTATTTCATCAATTAGCAAAAACCCTAACGATAATAAATCTACAAAATTCATAATTTCGTAAGCCGGCTCCTACCCACGCATTCACGTCTTTGCATATGCTTAACTACATATCCAAAACATAATTGTACGTCCACCAGTATATCTGATGGCATTAGATATGAATCAAAGTATATAGGTCAGCATATCAAAGATCGTAATGATTGTTAGCCTTGGTTTGCTAAGCCTCGTGTCTTGATGTTAACAAACAATAAAAAAGCTTAATGTTTGTTTAAGTGTTTCAGGTACACCAAGAATCCATTAAGATTCGGTTCTCAAGAATGAAGTCGAAACAATAAACTAGCGTAGAATATAAATAGAAACCGATGTATGGATATGATTTTATATACCTATATTCACAAGCTCAAAATCATTCAAAAAATATGTTTAAAACCCTTTTATAATCATTTTCAAACATCCAAAAGGTTTACAACAAGTTTGGAGACGATTTGGACAAAAATGAAAAAAATATCAAAATGGTCACTAGGTACCTAGCTAGGTACCGTGAGGGTACCAGAAGGGGTACCGTGAGTCAGTCTGAGAAGGTACCCTCTACCGTCATCCCGGGGCCCCCCGAGCATCAAGACAGGACCCCCCAATCGTGAGGGTACCGGAAGGGGTACCGTAAGAAGATAGGTACCACTAGAGAGTTTTGGCCTGAGAAGGTACCTAGCTACCGTGACACGGTACCGTAACCGTTGGAGGTACTATTCTTAATTGCTCAATTTGAATTTAATTTAACCCTAATTGTAACGCCCCAAAATATACCCTAGAATTATTAATAAATAAATAATCAATTAATCAAAATTGTTTTGATTAAAAATAAATTATTGTTGGGCCTTGGGCCGAAATAAAAAATGTATTGATATCCAATAAACATATTTGGGATAAGTCTCATAGAGATAAATACAACATGTTGACTTATTGTGTGATCTTGATTGGGAACCTGAGTACAGACCCAAATTAAGAATAAATGAAGAAATTGTTTATAATGTGAACTTTGAAATGATTTATTGAAATAAATCATGGAAATAAATAATATGAATTAAATATGAGAACCTTTTTGAATAAAGGTTAATTAAACCAATTTTGACTCTTTCAAAATCAAAATATGATGTCGGAAAAAGTATACCTGTTCTGTTCATACGCGAATCAATGAAACTCTATATCAACTACTGTCGATTAAATAATTTGTTATCCTTTACCTCGTATCATGACTTATTTGATCAGCTAAGAGAATTCATTGTATTCTCTATGATTGACTTACAGTCAAGATACTCACAAATCCTTGATAGGAAATTCGAACAAACTGACGATCAAGAATTGTTATCCTTTACTACGAACTAACAACTTGTTCGGTCAGATACAAAGAACCTGCTTGTTAAAAGCTATAGACAACTCAACCTTGTTGAATGAACTGATGCCTTGTTATGAAGTGATTAATGACCTAATTACTTATCATCGGAAACGTCAATGTAGTCTGATTGAATAAATGAAGTAAAGTGATGTTGACAAGACAAACCAATAAGATAATTGACTCGTTCGGATATCATTTTGCCTTGAAAGATCGCGGCTGTGGTGACGATATGACGTTAAACAGTGACACCAACAATGAAAGACTGAAGAATGAAGAAAATGTAGTTCGCGCTGGTCATACAACGTTAAATAATATTTATGGATAATATTATTTCAACACAAAATACAACTTGGATTACATGAGGAAAGTTACAAATGCAATTCTAAGTCTAATCCCCCGAGATTTGCGAACTCGTCATAATTAGCCCCAAAAGCCGGAAAAGCTTTAGCAAACTCTAGCTTGTCTAAAAGCTCACCAACAAAGAAAGAAGAAATGAAAAGTTTTCTTTGACTGGAAGCCATGAAGTTCTGCATCACCGCATCATCTAAAAACTTGATTAGGTTATTGAAATAACCATCAATGTTCAAAAGACCAATGGGTCTATTGTGTAACCCTTCAGAAGCCCACGAGATCAAGGTGAACAAACCTTCCATAGTGTCAACTCCTCCGGGAAGAATGATGAAAGCTTCCACGGCGTGATTTATCTCGAAATACTTGTAATAGTTGCTGGAAACTGTATGCTCTACACCGTACGTAGGTCCATAGACACCTCATGTTGCTATGTAACCAGGAATAAAACCTCTAACGAGACCACCATTGGTAAAGACTGTTGAAGCAACAGCTCCTTGAAGACCAACACTACCTCCTCCATAGGCAAGTTTAATCTTTCGCCTTATCAACTCTCTTCCTAAATCTACCGAAGTAGCCATAAACTTTGGATTTCTACCAAGAGAATGACTGCCAAGTAGACCAACGAATCTTATGGTATAAGGAAGTGTTCGAGAAGTTCCTTCCATAATGTGAGAATGTGAAATACTCGTTTCATAATCATGATATATATAGCCTCAGAAACCTGACCGTTTATGGAGAGGTAATGGTCACTAGACAATATACGTACAGTAAAATGTATTCAATATAGCTACATACGAGAACGTACTCACTAATATTATAGTCTGCTAACGATATGACGTATTGAGACCCTTGAACAGTCAGATTCGCTGTCCTGGAAAAACGTTCAAATCCAAGACAAAAAGTCAAAACGACTATTTCCTAAGACAACGACCTCTTGAGTAACTTTCAAAGAGTGAAACATGGAAGGAAGAAAACCTACGATTAGTAACAGTAATTCGCAAACGCTATCTTGACATCTTGTGACTCATATCCTTGAATTACTCAAACTTGCTGTGTTAACTACACCCTTGAAACATCTCGCTTGATCAATCTTGAAAAGATTGAATTCCATTCTTTGTATCAAAATACTAAAACCATGATTCTTCATTGGAACCAAAACAATACTCGGTGATACCATGATATCGATCCTTGGAAACTATACCCTATTGAATACGTGACTCGATCACAATAGTAAAACTACCCTGACTGAAACATTATGTTAAACCTCTATTTGTGGACTACAAAACGATCAATACGATTACGCTATCTCTGAAGATTATTATCGATGATATTGTTAGAATCCTAGCAAGGAAATGTATGTGCGACAACCAGAGAAGAAATGGCGTCACAGAAACATGCCGAATCATTCAAGTGAAGATTCGGAACCTATATGCGATTTTGGTATAAGAACTAGTAAAGATTCCTCACTCTATGAATTCGTGTATTGAATCACGTACTGAAGATATTATCTTTTTCCTCAAAACGAGATCAGCCATAGTGCTACAATCGAACCTATCGTTATCATATCTAGATATGTTTTCAAATTAATAGAAGAAGTTTGAATATGACAAATCGTACATGAGACGCTACTCGAATGTCATCACTTATGAGTACGAAGACTCATTAAAAACGATAATGAGAACTACTACGAAGATGAATGAAGAAATGTTTCAACATAAGGTCGATGAATGACGAACTACTGTACAACCGATCGACAGTACCTCCTCATAATTGATGACAATTCCCATACTCTGAAAATCATGAACCAATAAAGGCCATTTGATGTTACTTAAGAATCATTGAATCATTGCTGAACCATGTGATTAATGTGAAGATATTTTGAATGATTTAGAAGATTATTAATTAAACAACCTCCAAATCTTCCACTACATCTACCGCGAACTTGAAATTACAAATGCTACTGAAGAACCTTCAATCAGAGGAAGAATATTGTTAATCAACGTGGTACAACGAGGAATTGAGACTGAACGAAGTTTTGTGCAAGTATGGCAAGTATATAACCCTATACACCACGAAGGAACTTTAGTTGTTGATACTGAAGGATCACTGAATGTCTTGCTTAATCAAAGATTGTTAATCTCTTGAAGAAAGAACGAGTTGCGTAACATCGACAGTTTGAGAATAACTATCAATGTGGATAATGACGTGATTATGATTTAACTGAATGAACATGACGCGATTATGATTAAGTGCGATCACAACAAAATGTTGAACGTTGAGCCTTAGAAGAATTTCGGGGACGAAATTCCTTTTAAGGGGGGAAGAAATGTAACGCCCCAAAATATACCCTAGAATTATTAATAAATAAATAATCAATTAATCAAAATTGTTTTGATTAAAAATAAATTATTGTTGGGCCTTGGGCCGAAATAAAATATGTATTGATATCCAATAAACATATTTGGGATAAGTCTCATAGAGATAAATACAACATGTTGACTTATTGTGTGATCTTGATTGAGAACCTGAGTACAGACCCAAATTAAGAATAAATGAAGAAA